TTCAATGTGGATTTCAACTTTGGGAAAAGGTAAGTCACATGGAGCTAAGTCCAGTGAGCAAGGTGGATGGTCCAATACTGGGATCTTATCAGCCAGTTAATGCTTTATAGACAATGCCCTGTAGGCTAGTGTGCTGTCCTTATAGAGAATCCAAGCATTGCCTTTCCACAGATCTGACATCAAAGCGAGAGATGAAATTTGTCTCTCATACATAGTGGCATTTCTGGTTGTTCATAACGATCTCGTCTTTGTTGTTGATATCACGATTCTATTCAGTTGATTATACATGTTTGGGTTATCTGTGCACGCAACACAGTATAGAATTTTAACGAATGAAATTATAAAATTTTTGAAAATGCAATATCATGTACATAATCATAGATCAAGTGGCAAGGAAAGAACATGTTCAAATAAAGCACGTAACTTTGACAAAGTTATTACTAAATTTTTTTTTTGTTTTATAACGTTTTTAGATTGTAATGTCAATTTGTCTCTTAACAAATAAAAATTTTAATAACCTAAGTTAGAAAAGCGTGTGTACTTAGATATTTTTTGAAATATTACCATCTAATTTCTCCTTAACTATCTAAGTAAGATTAACATCATAATCGATAGTTCAATAATTGATGTAGGATAATTAAAAAAAAAAAAGAATGGAATCACTGATGTTTCCGAGTAGGCACTAGAAAAAAATCAGAAGCATTTTCTATCTAGAAATATTTCTTCCAAGATAGAGAACATTCTCTAATATGATTGTACAGCACGAGTAGCATCCAGTCATCCATATTGGATATAACAAAATTGAGGCAAAAGATGATAGACTGGTCGAAAGACAACTATCCATTTGTCTCTGATAAATGAGAGAAGCGAAGAAAGAAAAAGTTGTCCAGAATTGCGTTTAGAGAGACTTGATGATCTCTCAATATGTAAATAAATGATTAGCCAATCAGTGACCAGCTTGTGACAGATGACAGACAATGACCAGAATACAGCCCCTGATCTATTCTTCCTTAGAGCCGCCGCAAACTAGGGCTTTGCGAGAGCAAACACGCTAGCAAATGTGCGCTAGCACAACCGATGACGTCGAAGGCTCCGCCCATGTCTTCTTGCCCACGCTGTTTTTCCTTCGCTAGCGCAGCGATACGAGAGTACGCTCGCTGTTCAGATATTTCAACAACTAGAGCATTTACGCTAGCAAGAGAGAGCGGGGAAGACGGATGACTACATAAACATGTCACATATCGAAAAAGAAATAATAGAATTTTATCGATGTACGTAAATTACATAATTAATACATTCAGTATTGAAAAGAAAATAGTATAACCGTTGTATGTAAATAGTAATATACAGTATAAATAGTTTTCGGCTAGTTAAGCCTAGTTAGGCTTAACTAGTAAACATTTTTTTTCCATGCTGTTTCAAAGTTCGGAACGAAAACTGACTGATTACAAGTATAGGTTATAATAAAATCTTGTTCTATAGCCAATCTACATCTGTGGAAACCACAGAATCCACGTCATGTGGACTACGTTACGCGAGCAAACGTTGTGTAGTTTGCGGCTGCTTCATGCTCGCGTAGCTTACCTAGCAAAAATGGCTCATAGCATCATGGGAAAAAAGGCGGGGCTTAGGAGCGCACGCTAGCTCCCGCATCCTGTAGTTTGCGGCGGCTCTTACTTGTTCTGTCAGCTTGACTAGAACCTTGAGGTAATAATGTTAGTTAACTGTCTTACCCTCTGGCACCCATTCAATCATTATCATGCCGTTGATATTAAAATAAATCAGCTTTTCTATCACTTTTGATGTACTCATTCTTGCTTTCTTTCATTCTCAGCAATGTGGGAATTTTAGAGTGCAACAATTGTCTCTCTGTTTCTGGACTGTACTGGAAAATCCACATCTCATCACAAGATGATGTTCTCCTGCAATTCTGACTCTGCTGTCAGCCATTTCATTTCAGCAAAGCAACTGCACATATGCATCTTATACAACTACTTACAGACAAACAACAAGTGAAAGCAAACAATGCTTATCTCAAATTATTACAGAAATTGCTTTTAACCCTAGGTATATAATTAAATTAATTAAAATATCTATAACCATGAGGCAGATAATAGTAAGAGCTTATCACACCAATGATAATGGGCACAAACACTCGGCAATCAAAGCAAAAACATTTAAAAAAACATAAAGGGGGTGTACAATAAGATGATCACATAAGTAGGGAAACCAAAAAACCCAAAATGCATTTCAAACTATTTTCCAATAGAAAATAGTCCCTCATCAGTTGGAATTAACTAAAGGTTTTAGTATACTTAAAAATTATACAAGGTGAAAAAAATAAACTTAAAACTATGCCTAAAGCTATATAATATAAAGATGAAAATGTCGCCATGACTATATGAGCAGTATGCATTATCAATGTAAATTATGTTAGCTGAATTATGTTATGAACTAATGTTATACAGACAGTTTAAATTATATACTGACATACCAAAAACAGTAAAATGACAGAGTTGTAGGTTCAGACATTACTACAAGATGCAGGGAGCAGTTACAAAGGAGGTGTGTTACCTTCCACATCTGGTGCACAAGTGGTGACAACAAATGATGCAACCAGATGTCAATGTTAATTTTGTCTATTTCATCCTTTAATAGATGAGGGCATATACACAAATATCGATTGGGATCTAGGCAAATTATTCTATAGATGTAACAAAATTATTACAGAAATTGCTTTTAGCCCTAAGTATAATTAAATTAATTAAAATGCTTATCTCAACTGTTTCTACAACCTTCAAATCAGATCATTCACTGCACAAGCAATCTCACTACTATAAGTACATGACTCACAGTGGGCCATCTCATTATTTAATAGCTTCACCTCATATACTGTATTTTTTTTTCCATTAAGAAATAAGTTGTAAAACTGTTTAAAGAAAAATGTTTTGAAGTATTTCCTTATCAATAAATCATTAATACAGTGGGTGATCGGTTAACGAACATAATCCGTTCCAAGACTTTGTTCGCTATCCGAATTGTTCGTTAACCGATTATCAATTTACCATAGGTTTTAATGGGAATTTAATTAATTCGTTCTGGAGACTGCCAAAAATAAAAAAATATATACTTTCTTACTACGTTTATTTATACGTAATAATAAAAATACATACATGCACAGTCTTGCGTTTTTATTAGTCATGTTTTTTCCGCTTGAAAGGGTTAAAGAATCTGTCTAATGTCGATTGCTTTTCTCTCTTCTTCAGGATTTTTCATAAGTAATTAATAGGATTACAATTATAGAAATCCCCAAGCTTCAACCTGGTTTGGATGCCATTCTAAGACTGTTGTTCTGACATCTTCCCACTTCTTCAAAAGATCTTTAGTAGCAAATATCGGCATTAATCCTCTTTTTCAGAAGAAAACATATCTCGCCGAGTTTCTTGGTGTTCTTCATTCAAGAGTTTTTGACGTTCTTTTGTCGTCAGATCCGTTTCAGGTTCCATTATGAACTCTTCGATGTTCTTTAATTCTCAGATGTGACTTTTGTTACTCCTTTAGCTGCTTGAGTCTTCTTGATTATACAGTATTTTTCTTAAATAAGATTGAACTACGGCCTAATGTAGACCTATTCACGCCATACTGCCCAGCAACATTAGGCATCTTCTGCCCACTTTCTACCTTTGCTATTATACTCTCACCTTTTGAAAAGAAAAAAAAAAAAAACAGACGCAAAACTTAATTTGTGCCTACCCGACAGTCTCGCGGATACATTAAAGAATTGTTTTGTCAGAAAAATAAAAGGCTGGAATTACAAGGGAGAGTTTCAAAGTTCGGAGGAATACTATCCGATTGGTATATACCGGCTTGAGCGTTGATGTTGACGTCTCCCGCACTCCGAAAAGTTTCGAATTGTTGCCCGAAGACAAGAGAAGACCAATCGGTATTCATTATTTTATGTCGCTTCTTCTTGTGTTCGTTATCCGATCATGTGTTCGTTGTCCAAACACAAAAATCTTTTGCGAAAGTGTTCGTTATCCAATCTGTTCGTTAACCGATCACCCACTGTATTGCAAAATTCACGTTTTACAATGATATCTAGTCGGCAACCCGTCATTCTTGGTTAATAATACAAGAAATTGATTGTAAACCGCTTGACACTAGTTCAATAAATTTTTCCAAATTTTCCATTTACATTAAAAGTTTTATTCAACTCTGATCACATCTAAAGTTTATTAATTAATTATCATTCTCAAAACATATGTTATTCATGGTATACAAACTATTATGTCAAATTTAATGCAAAATTAAAAGCTAAAAATTTCGATTCACTCACAATAAAACAGACTCGCAGATTATCTATGCCTCAACTAGCAGAGATTAGCCCAGATAACTGAGAGTACACGTTGCTCAAATTTAACAAATAAAACTTATTATACATTATATTTGGCTATGACAATTTATTTCAGAATCCGTTTACCAAGTACCAAATCTCGTTAACAAACAACCACTCGTTTGTTTCCTATACAATATGGTATAGTTAGAGGAAATGTTTACATAAATATTTCTAATATTTTATGAGTAATTTTGTAAGTTTTCAATGTTACACAACTCAGAAAAACATATAAATATTACATATGTTCATCATGTATAATTTTAATATAAACATACTGTATTTTATTGTTACTTACAAATTAATGTTTTACCTTATAAAAATACATCAATGATTATGAATTACCAAACATTTACATATTAGTTTTTAATCAAATTACAAAATATACTTTATGAATAAATGATAAATGTTTACAACTGCAACGAGCATTTTTATTTTATTTTTTAAAATTCGTAAAGATAATGCAATAATTATTTCTATATTAAAATATCTTGGAAATAAATCAACAGTGAAATAACGTTATTTTTAGCGAGTTTTTAAGCAACGATTAAATCATTTGATTTACTTCACATCAAATCGTTTCTATTTCTGTAATGGAAATTTTTACCTTGAGCGGAATCTTCTTTCTGGTGTCCGACTCGTCAGTCTTAACTTGCTAATCCGTTCTTTACTTTTTTCTCTCGATCTAGACCGCTTATGAGAATGTTTACTGCGATGCCGATGCTTGCTAGGCGATCTGCTTCTGCTTCTAGATCTTCCCATATTTATTTTCGACTTCTAATTAAGATTAATTTCAATCTTCCGAACGACTAATAATGGACGCCAAACTCGATCATTAATTGTTTAATTTCTCGCTAGGAGCGCTTCGTTCGACACTAGCAAACGAATGATTTTTTTTTATCAATATTTTTTTACTATATTTCATGTATTGATTTAAAAAGAATATTAGGTATGTGTTTTTATTTCGGAAGTAATTAAAAATAATTATTTTTACAGATAAATGTTCAACTAATCAATAAAAGTATCTAAATAGTATAAATGATAGGCAAATGAATGAGGCGGTTAAGACTTCTACCTGCTGCTCCGGGAGATCCGGAATCGAATCCAGACGAACAACTAACCGGAAAATTTTTCATATATGTCGTGCCCCGTCTCCTACTACCTGCCCGTCTCCTTGGACGCCCGGACGGCCGAGTGGTTAATGTGGCAGCCTATCGCTCCGGAATCAAAGCGGACGGGTCGAAAAATTCCAGGAATTTTTCGCGACTGGTCCGTCCGGATATGTTGGGTCCCGTCCGTCACCACTTCGCCGCGCACATTGGAAGCCTTGCCAAATCCATGATGGGCTATCTTTAAAAAAGGCCGTCTTAGTGCCAGTAGGACAGAGAGGGTTAAAAAAAACGAATAAGTTAGGCTACGTTCTCACCATCCGACTGCCCTTGTGCCGAACTCACGATGAGTTTCTTTTGAACACTACGAAAGCGTAGTGTTCAAAAGAAAGAGCATATAAAGCCGGATATACACTATATTTATGTATAAATGTCGACATTATGTGTATTTTATATTATATATATAACAAAAATATAAACTCTTACGGAAACTATATAAAACATGTAGTAATAAAATTAACCATAGCGTGAAATATATAAGTATAAAAAGTATAGTAAAATAGTGACAAAATACAATAAAACAGATACCTGTACTAGGCTCCTCGGTATTAAATATACAGTAGAGCATCGATTATCCGACTCAATTGGGGACTGGGGTTGGTCAGATAATTGAAAAGTCGGATAACCGAAAAGTTTGAAAAAATCCATTATTAGTGTACTATATTATTATATCCCATGTAATTAGTACAGTATATTAGTATACAGTAGACCCCCTATAACGCTTAGATACGTTCCACTTTATAAGAATTTTACGCTGTAGGAATCCTTAAATACATGAGCCAATCACAGCCCGACACGTGTGAAGTTTACGGACTAAGGCTGTNAAGTAGTTCGGCTTCTCATCCACTATTGGTCCAGATTCGACCAATCTTGTCGCGACACGAGTCGGCGACGACGTTTTACGTGTCCCTTTATACGAATACTGCCGCAATTTTTTCGCTACGTTATAGGAATTTCCGTTATAGGAACCCACGTTATAGGGGGGTCGACTGTAAATAGTTTGGTTCAAGTTGAAGAAGAATGTAGCTGCCAGGCAACATTTAGCAGCATCATTCACCACAAGATTCAGTGTGTGTGTGAACTGCATGGTACGAAGAAAGCGCGTGGATTTTTTTCTAAAATCCTTTTTGAACACCACTGTGCTTACCTTTCATGTTACTTCCATTGTCATATCTCTGTCCATGTAAATTTTCTAATGAAAGAGATATCTCATCTAATTGATACAAAATTTTTTCAGTTAAACCAACGCCAGTTGTGTCGGTAAGAGGATTAAAGCCTAGAAAATGTTTTTTGATTTCACTTTCACATTCTTTATCATCATAAGTTATCTTTACATCGAATGATGATGGTCATTTGTTTAACTTGGCTTAAGTCGGTTGTTCAATCTAGAATTATTGAATAATATTTAGCAGAGTGAATAGAATCTAATATTTTTTTTTTCTGGATAGCGTTAGCGAACAGACTTATTAATTCGTTTTGGATATTTTTTCCGAGATAATGAATATGAATCTTGTTGTCAGAAACTTTTCTCTGGTATTCTTGCATAATAGGATCAAATAAAGCCAGGTATTCTACTATTTTCAAAAAGTTTCCGTTGTTATGAGTAAATATTTTGTCACGTGTTCCACGAAAAGATAAGTTTTGACATCCTAGAACTATCACTAATGCCATTAATCACTCCAGAATTTGTTGCCAGTATTGTTTTTTCTCCCTTATTGATTGAACTTATATTTTCGTCACCGATGGTTTTATTTGTCTTCAATCTAATCTGTAATTCTTTCCTTGTTCGGTATGTTCCCAAATGACTACTGCTTTTCTCGTGAGTTATTAATATCTTAGATATATTCTTCCAGTCATTCACCCCATTGTTACATAGAGTGGATTTGAACATCTTTAGAAAATAGCTTACAACAAAAGCAGAATACCACATCTTTTAAAATTGAATATTGTAGCCACGGACGAAATATACATTCACCATTAACTAGATTTATTTTATAGTGTACTGTAGAAAACTTTCTTCTGTTGTTAACTAATGGGAGTTGACATTTTGTTCTTGATCTGGCCCATGTTCAACAAGAAGTGACCGCACATGATCCGTAGAGGTATTCCACGTTGCTGGGTCATTAAAATTCAAAACGCGTCCAGAAACATCTTTATCTTTACTCGTACTCCTTTCACTATGTTGTGGGATAATTTCTGTTTCGGGAAACAAAACAGAATTTTCTGTAGTACAGGTTTCCATAGAATTGTTTGCTTTTTCTATCACATCATCATCTGTACTTTTGCCTGGTAGCGGTTCTTGAGGATTTGGACAAAGTTACTTCTGAAATGAGCCTGCTTGCTTTGCTAATGATAATTATTTCTCTAATATTCTCTTACGAAATTGTGCTCCAGATAATTTTTTTTTATCTCATTTGCTATGTCTCAAGAATTAACCGTACCTTAAATAAAAAAAATTAATTCAGTATATAACAATAAATCTTACGAAGGTATTTTAATATCCTCAGTTAGGCAGTTAAAAGTATCAAATTCGAAGTCTTTATAAATAACCGAAAACGATACCGCCAAATGAGAATCGTAGATACCACCTTAAATTATATTTTATAAGTACTGTACGTACTGTACATTAAAATCATTATATACAGAGGGGAAAAAATACTTTTATAAAGGTCTTATTTTCTTGGCTCAAGAAATTACTTTGTTGATGATTTTGGCCTCCGATCGGGTTCCGGGAATGCACGCCTGGCGAACCTGGTCCTTTATATCATCGCTATTTCTACCCTTCTGCGGAAATAACTCCTTTATATGTCAAAGGTGAATGGGTTGGAAATAACTTGCACTTAAACTATAATTTTCTTTTATTAAGAAGTTATCAAGAATACAAGATGGCGGCGACTATAACGATTCGTGCTCACAATACGCACGCCAAGGCGGTTAGAAGCTTATGCACTACCGCGAATTAAATATTTAAATGCTGGCATATAACTTCAAAGAGGTATATATAGAAGATTAGTCTTTTATTTATCAATAAACAATAAAATAACTTACAATAAAATTCAAATTTTAATCTGTTTTATCCACACTGACAAGTGAGTGTCAGCGTAATGGAGGCCGCCACCGTAACCGATTACAATGCTACAAAGTTAATCTGCAAAAAATCGACTTATATTTAAGTAATAAATATTTAGTAATTTTTATGAAAAGATGTGAAATAAAATGTTTTAGTTGTATTTGACATGTTTTGTTATTATTAAATAATAATTTATTATTAATTTGAAGACCGTTAATCACGATTTAATATGTAGCACGCAATATCGCGATCGTGAGACCACGGCGCTACTTTCAAAATGGCGACTCGCGGGTCAACACGTGAGAAAGGATTGTGATCAAAAAACATTTATTTTTTCATTATTTATTGTAATTTATGCATATACTTTCGCCGTGCTGTCCCCCGAATTCAAGCGCTCTAGGCCATCGCTTAGTTTTCCTATATGAATGGGCCCTGCCTGTATATATAGTTAGTCAGTGACATTTTTACTTGGCGGGGAGTCACTTCTGTGACTCGATCATTTGAGGAGAGACACTGTGTTCTCTCAACAAAAGATTTACGTAAAATGAATATCTATATCTATATCTATCTATCTATATCTATATATATATATAAATGGACATGTATGTCCCTATACTGTATTTCACTTTTTCCGCCAAAACTACACATCGCACGTGAATGGTGTTTGTATGTGGTGGTAGCCCCAAGTCTCCATTCGTGCATAGGGGTGGTTGCGTCTCGATAGCTATAAGGGTGCGGGAGATATGAGGCTGAAAGTGATTGAAAGTGGCTTTCTATTTCGAATGTTTTGTTCGAATTTGTTCGAATTAAATTCGAACATAAAATTCGAATATTGGTTCGATTATAGAACGATTGTAAACGTTCCAGAAACGTTGAAAATAGTTCGTTTGACTAAACGTAAAAATTCTCTAATTAGTCTGGAAACGGGGGACCTAATTCTTGCATTCTGTGAAAACGGGTAAGATTGGCTATAATGTAATTATCTTAATTTTCACTATCGTTACTTTTTGCCCAGCGAAGCGGGTCCTTGCAGCTAGATTCTAGATTAATTAGAAAAACAGTCTTTTATATATAAAAAAACTATATTACATACAAATAAAAACCCAGCGAAGCGGGTCCTTGCAGCTAGTATGTTTATAAAAATGTATCAACAAATTTCTACCGAAAAATGTTTATGTTTGTTTGTATAGTTATGGCAACTCAACACTTGGGCGATGCCTTTCGGGTGATTTTTTTAAGGAAAACTGACCCCTATTTGGAGTTATAGACGTGAAGGAAACCCGGAAAAATCCACGTGGCCAGCTCGTTCGAGCGAGGCGCGAACTCACGACCGAACGCCCAGTGTTCAGGGTACGAAGGCCGCTTGGCCACTGGTGGGCACGAAAAATGTTTAAATCACGCTCTTAGTTCATGTTAAAGGCTGGATGACAGAGCTGTTAAAGCGTCAGCCTATCGCTCCGGGGATCAGGGATCAAAACTGAGCGAGCAACATCCAGCAAATTTTTCATGGACGATCAAGCCCGGATATATCGGGCTTGGTCGAACCCACGATGGGTATGAAAAAAGTGTACTTTCTAGTGCCCACAGAGGGGAAGTAATTTTTAAAAATATGAAAAGATAATTGGTTTCATGAAATTAATAACAATAGAATTTTCGTATCTTAAAACATGCAATAAGATGTAAGAAACAAGAATAAGAAATAAGAAATTGTTTTATTTAATTTAAAGATAAAAAATTAAATATTTGTTTACATTTTTTGAAATTTAATACATATAAAATATTCAAACTTTTAGAATATGGAGATAAATAACATCGTAGCATTAAAAATATTAAATAATCAAAAATGTTTTAGTTATGTAATTTTTAAAATTATATATTCATTCCTTTGTCACGAAAATAAATATAATAAACTTATGTATAATTAAAAAAAAAAAAAAACTACACATAGAGTACATGACGTTTATTACGAAACTGAAGGTAAATCGATTTACTAAATTTCAGAACTAAACATTATCACGTGACTTGAAAACGACACATTTTGCTCACGTTGGAAGAGGCGTTCGAATTGGTTGATAATAATTAAAGTTGTAAATATTGTGCATCGTTCCTTCGAAGTTCCTTCTCATATTAAACACAGAACAGCATAAAATGTTAACTTGAATCATTTTATGAAAAATTACCATGATAATTTTTTCATATTGAAGAAAAGTACGAGTAACAATTGAAAATAAGGTAATTTACAAATAAAATGCTAATTCTGGTTATTTAAATGTGATAAAAATTCTAATTTATGTAATATTTTTGTTATATTATTTAGATTGTCTGACATTCGACGAATCACGTGGTTTTCGGTGCTAATTGATAATGACAAGAATTAAGTTTCGGACATTATTTCAGTGTCATGCTTTAAAATATGCTCATTATAAATATCGAGGAAGAATTGCAACGAGAAGTGTTACAACTTGGTCGCACTTGGCATCGGCTTTCAACTCATTACCCAATAAAAAATTTAGTATATTAGAAGAAAAAATGGTTTGTAAATTTTGATATTTCTGATGTTTTATTAATTTATTCTTCACTTAAAAAAAAGAACAATAATCCAATTTATGTGTCATTCTTGATAAAGTAACGGTTTGCCGATTGATAAAGCTGGCAATATCTGAAAATGTTATTTTATCGCTAATGTATTGTTTCCAGAAATTTCTTTTTATTCACAAGATATGCTGCTCGGAGATTATGTAAAACTGACGACTCGGTAAAAATTAAAAATTTATTTATTCATTTTTGATAAAGTAAAACATAAACACAGATAAACACAAACACATCACTTATATATTTATGTATAAATAAAATATAATAATATGTTATATTATAGTGTTAAATTATAAAAAAAGTAAATAAATAAATGATTTTATATATATAAGGATGAATTGATAAATATGTTCATCTATTACAGCATTTTGTAAAGAGTAGTGATAGACACTTGTGTCAACATCCCAATAACCCAATGTATATTAAATAAACAACCAATCAATAGTCGAAATAATTGGGCAGAAATCCTACAAACATTATTAGAAATTAACTGATAAGAACAACTAGAGGTAGATATATCTGGAACTACTAGAGGATAGTCTGGCAGGGAAGAGTCGCTCAGAGGTCCAAGTGATGTAACTGGCCGGCACGCTGCATGGTAAGCGTAGGTTGCAGGTTCAACTCCTGCTCTGGGCCGATTCCTTTTTCTTCCAGACTATTCTAAATTTCTAAATTTAAAATTAAATTATAGTTTCCACTTTAGTTAAGAGATACCACCTCTAGCTGTTCTTATCAGTTAATTTCTAATTATAATATTTATAGGATTTCTGCCTGATTATTTTGGCTGTTGGTTGGTTGGTTTAGACACTTGTGATCAGTGATGTGGAATTGCAGTTTGACTTGCTGTAGTAGGATGTTCTAGGATGGAGTCATAGTAAAATTCTTCCAACTCCAGCAACTCTGATCTTAAATTTTACTATTGTTAAAATGTGAAGTATGAAAAATACTTTTCAATTAATATCTAAAGAAGTTTCATAGAAAATGGACACTTTGATAAATTTACATATCAAAAAGATACTTATCTGTAAAGGCTATTTCATACCAAAATTTTATGTATATCACATGCAATGTGCTGTATACTTTCAGAAAATAGCTTTTATCAATTTAAACAATTATATCCACTTTTTTTTTTTTTTAACACAATACTAGTGTTTACTACGCCAAAATTATATCCACATCAATCATTGGTAGGAAATTAACTATTCCTGTAGAAGCAGAATTAGGAGAAACTATTTTACAAATCACTTTATTGCATCATTCATCAAATTGTTATTTTTTTACATTTTATTGTATTTAATTTAAAAAAAAATGATTAAGGCTAAGACTCCACTACCGTAAAAACGGCGTAAAAACCTCTCGCCGTAAAAGCTTTTAATCACATGACCCTGATAACTTACGCCTGAGCTGGCCGTAAAACCAGCGTAAAAGCGAGTTGAGCTATGTTCAACTTTCGAGGTACCTTCCACCAATCAGAAGTCAGTGAAATCTAGGTCATCGCGACATGAGCTAAAATGGCGGAAAATGAGTTTTTGTGTATGTTCTCTCGTGGCTACCCTAGAATAGATCCGAAAAGATTTATCGAAAGTATTCGTGTATCTACGACAAGAGATAACCCGATTATAATAATGGATACCAAAGGAAATCCTTCAATTTAGAGAAGTATATAATAAAAAAGCTAAGCTTATAAGTGCTATATATTATCTTAATAATACGATAATAAAAGTTAGTATATTAAAGTAACGATATTATTTTTACTACATTTGTAATTATAGTACAGAAAATACTCGTAGAATATAATCATTGTCTTTATATCAATATATCACGTATACAACCGTCTTCCGTTTCCACCAATTCACGTGCGAAGAAGTATTTACTTTCGACACTTGGGCAGCACTGTTGCCGTAAAAACTTTGCGCTAGCCGGACCTCCACCGTAATCCGAGCGCAAACGCAAATAGGTCACGTGATTAAAAGCTTTTATGGCGAGGGATTTTTACGCCGTTTTTACGGTAGTGGAGTCTTAGCCTAAGTTTAAATCAATTTTTGATAATCTATACAAATAAAAATGTAAATGTTCTTTTGTTCAAAATCTTATATCTATTATATCTCATACGTGTATTTGAATGCAATGTTGTGTTCAAATTTCAAAGTAATTGTTAACTGATTACTTTGAAATTTTAACACAACGTTGCATTCAAATACACATATGCTTTTATATTATATAGATGACAAAATTCCCCCCTCGCAGGGGAGAGGGACAAAATTAAGGCTTACCGTGAAGAACTGGCCTTCTATTATTCTATTTTAAATGCGGTTTTTTGCGTTTTTGATTGAATTTTAATAGGGTACACTAAGAAGGGAATTTTTGAAATTCCCTCTTGCAGGGAGTGTTATACATTTATAATAATTATATTTTGAGCCACAGCAATGTATGGATGGGTAGAGCTAGTTAATTAATAAAAGTGGTATTTTTTTAAGATGTAATCTTAGTCAGCCAAAAAACGATAGGAATATGCTTGTCTGAAAATCTTCTATTGCCAAAAAGTCTTGGAAAAACTTTTGAATATGTAAAACTTCTTTACATATTCAAAAGCTTTTCCAAGGTAAATTCGTTATATGCATTTTTTTGATTCACACCATAAATTCCAAGCAATCACTGTATATTCTATCCCCAAAATATCTAATTATTTTACTCAAAAATGTCAAAGAAACTTGACGATAAAGTAAAATTTATACCTTTCTAAACTAGATTTGTCATCCTTTTGCATTTTAAAACAACTGAATAATGAAAGTTTCTCAAAAGTCTATATGCAACATTATTAATTTTAATTGGCAAAGAAAAGAAAAATGGGTTTTTGTCACTCAGAAGGATATATCATACAATCAAGACTGCATTTAAGAAGATTAATAAGATGATGTCAAAGGAAAACTCTCCAGGCCCACCAGTGGCCAAGTGGTTCTTTTCCCTGAACACTGGGAGTTTGGTTTTGGGTTCATACCTCACCAGGATGGGCTGGCCATATAGAGTTTTCCGTGTTTTCTCCATGTCCGTAACGCCTGAATAGAGGCCAGTTACCCTTAAAAAGACCTCCTGGAAAGCATCCCCCTAGGCAGATCACCCAAGTGTTGCATTGCCATAAATTAATAAACAAACAAACAAACAAACAAAAACCCTGCAACTCGGAGAATGATATCTAAGCAACTGAAAATATCTCAGCAGACAATACAAAGGGTTATTAGAGAAGATTTAGGTAAAGAATGTAGTCAGAAAAAGGCTTCTGCATACTGAGTCTCACAAGGTTGATTGAAAAACCAACTATCATAAACTTTACAAGACCCATTTAGTGGGATCAAAATCTGGATTTGCTATCACAATCAATGAGGCTTTGTTCAATATGCAAGACTACAGTGGTACCAGGAAAATCTGTTTCATGAAGACTAATACAAAGTTTAAAAACTTTGTCAAAAAAAACTTGAAAAGTTTGGGAAGAAAATGATGATTATTAGTGTATTGTTAAGGCTTAAGCCAGCGGTTCCCAAAGTGTGTGCTGCGGCTTCTTCATGGGCGCCACGAAATGTTATAAAATTTTTATAATTTTACTTAATTTAAAAAATATTGGTTATTTTGCAAATTGTACTTAATTTAAAAATTGATTATTTTGCAAATTGCAATTTGACATAGGGCACCTTGGAAAAATCTGGATTTAGCAAGGGTGCTGAGAATCAAAAAAGTTTGGGAACCACTGGCTTAAGCCATTACATCTCATTACAGTTCACAAAAGGTGAAGGTGAATGCCAAATACTATGTCAATGTTGTTTTGGTACCATTACTGTAGAGAGTATAGACTAAACTTGAAAAACTATCCAGGAGAATGTCCCACAGTTTTTGTTTACCATGACACAATATTATTAAGGTGTGTTTCAAATTTATACGGACACGAAAAAATTAAAGTGAAACACAAATTTGCTGCATTAAGTGACAAATGTTTTATTAAAAATAACATGGATTTACATGTTTCTACACTGCAAAATAAGAATTTTAATCAAACATTAATATTTTGTCACTGAAAATAATATTTTTGAAAATCTTATACAAAAAAACTGTTACATATTTATCCGGACAGGCACTCATTTTATGACTTAAACAGAATATTGTTTAGTTTCAAGCATTGAAATATGCAAATTAGCTTACATATCTAATTGTAATACAAATTCTTTACGTTGTTCAACGTTCTAAAATGGGTAGAACAAAGAATTTATCTGATTATGAAAAAGGGAAGATTGATGCCTATAAATCACAAGGCAAGTCAATAAGAGAAATTGCAGCATATATAAATCGTCCAAAATCAACTGTTGGTGATTATTTATCAAAAAGACGTGGCAAGGATGTACCAAAATTCAAGACAGGTCCAAAACCCAAGCTTACTCCTCGAGATTGTAGACAAATCATCAAGGTTTGCTCCACAAAACAAACATCAGTAAGAAAAATAAAACAAGAATTAGACTTGCCTTGTAGCAGCACAACAGTGTGGAGAGTTTTAAATAAATCTCCAATGTTAAAATTCAGAAAAAAAGCTGTAATGCCACCACTTTCATTAAAGCACAAAAGTGACAGACTTGATTGGGCACAAAAACACATGACATGGTCCGAAGAATGGATTGAAGTTTTGTTCAGTGATGAAAAAAAATTCAACTTAGATGGTCCAGACGGTTGGAAGTATTATTGGCACGATTTAAGAACCGAAAAACAAATATTTTCAAAACGCCAAATGGGTGGGGGATCAATAATGGTGTGGGGTGCGTTTGGATTCAACGGAACCACAGATTTAGCATTTATAACTCAAAGAATGAATTCAAAGAAGTATCAAGGCATGCTTGAAGATCATTTATTGGAAGCTGGACCAAATATTTGTGGACCAAATTGGATCTTTCAACAAGACA